GGGGGGGGGGGGAAATACTTCAATTTAAAATCTATAAGTTACACGGATAATTTCCAAAGGGTTAATAGTAAAATAAATTTAAGTTTGAAAACTATACGAATAAATATGAGCTTACAATATAATTTTTTTTTTTTAAGTACACGTCATTCTGTGTAAATGTGTCATTTCTGCTACAAAAATCAAATACATTAATTAATTGAAAATTATACTTTTATTTTCAGGTAATCGCAATCGCTCACCACCACTTATTCCTTATCCAAGTTACGAAATGAACCGTTTGCCAACTCGTTATGAGCGACCAGTTGACCACATAATCAATACTTTTCGTCTGAGTGTTGATAAGTGTGACCGCTTATGGGCGATTGATATGGGAGCTTCAAATGGGACAATTGTAGGAGAACCACAGTTGTTTATATTTGACTTGAACCGAGACCGTACTGTTAGACAATTCACTATCAGTTCTCGATTGAGACGTACCGATGGTAGTACTTGGTTTCCTGGTTTGATTGTCGACTCAGAACCTGGGGAATGTGACCGCTCTTTTGCCTACTTACCAGACATAGGTTGGGGCATGGTTGTATACAGCTTTCAGTCTAACGAAGCATGGCGCATTGAACATAATTACTTCTATTTCGACCCATTATCCACAGTATTCAATATGGGTGGTGTACGGGTAGAATGGACTGATGGTGTATTTGGTTTGGGTTTGTCGGAACGCCATTCTGACGGTTACCGGACTCTTTACTTTCAAGCATTAGCTAGCACACGAATATTTTCTGTCAATACACGTTTACTTCAGGCAAATGTCAGCATGACATCGGAAATTTTTGACCAATACGTTCATCATGGACATCGTCCTGCTGGAATGCAAGCTGCTTCCATGTCTATGGACGAGGTATCTGGGGCTATATTTTTTGCTTTGATTAATCAAGACGCTATTGGTTGTTGGAATCCTAGGCGTTTTCAAAGGCATTCTATCGGAAATAGTGCCATTGTTGCTCAGGATCGTACCACTTTATTTTTCCCTGCTGACCTTAAGGTCGATTTGCAATCGAACTTTTGGGTACTCAGTGATAGGATGCCCGTATTTCGATTCCAGGTAAACCGTTTTGATGTCAATGATGTCAATTACCGTGTTTTCACTGCACCAGTATCTGAATTAATCAGAGGTACCGTATGCGAGAGTAATGGTGGATTCAATGGAAATTTTAATAATATTAATGGAAATGCTGGGAGTGTAAATTTTAATGATAACATTAACTTTAACAGCCAAAATGAAAATTTCAATAACAATGATAATATCAACTTCAATAATGGACTTGGTATTAATCCGTCGCGCCCACCGCGTCCTAGTACACCAAACTTTAATAGAGGAGAAAACGCTAATGGCTGGTCAACTCCTAATAGAAATAAATAACATGAATACAACCAATATAAATTAAACAAAACAATTGCAATTTATCTTATGTAAATATTTTTAAATTTACCAATAAATCGTATTTAATTTTGTAATATGTATTAAGCATTTTACAATATGATAAATGTGTAACTGACTAGCTTTATATTAATTTATTTGTGTAACTGAAAGACTGTAACAGATTTTATGTATTATATTCGCAATTTTTTATTTTTATGTACTAATATTATTTGATGTGTACCACTTGAACATTTTTTACATATATATGCTTAATCGTAAATGAAAAATAGTTGTATTTATTTATGAATTGTATAATGTTAAATTATTTTTGGGACTGCAGTAAACATTATTTGAGATTGCAAAATTATCATAATTTTAATACAATTAGTGCAAATTATAAAACATTTGTATTTTAATATAATACAAAAATCTATGAAAATAACATGTTCATGTTTTAAATTTTTTTTCTATTGATGCATGATGTCCTTACTTATCATTTGGTTTATTTTTAAATTATTTATAAATCTGACCCTTTATCTGCCCACAGGGGGGGATTTAAAATGACAACTTTTTCACAAAAAATTAACTTTTTCAACTTACTTTTGAAAGTGTTCCGGAAGGTCTGACACTTTTATATATATTTTAAATGAAAGCTAATGTAATATTCTTTAATTAAAAAAAAAAATTTTGACCTCTGGACTTGTATCAGTCCATACCTTGTCCATACAAATAATGTAATTTGTTTTAATGGCCAATTTCATATAGTAGAATAATTGTCAGGACAATTTTACCTTCGATGCGAAGCTGAGAAGGTATTAATTTTACTAAGATGTGTTTTTTTGTGTCTTACCATTTTTTCTCATAACTTATCAAACCGATTTCTTTCAACGATACGTCAAAAGATCGCAAATCGTATCTAGTCGAAGACATTACCCTCAAAAATTGAAAAAATTTCCCTCGTTCCCCGTAAATGGAGTATATTACATTAGCTTTAATTTAAGTGTCAGTATTTACGGAACACTTTCAAAAATTAAGTTGAAAAAGTTCTACTTTCTTTATTCATTTTAAAGATTTGAACCCCCCCTGTATTAAGAGAACTGGTCCGATTTAAAAAAAAATACGTCAAATTAAAGAGGTATATAAATATTATTTATCATAAAAAAAGTGTATTGATCCATACACTTTTCAATAAGTTATAGCATTATAAAGTTAAAAATTTTAAATATAAAATCGAGAATTTTCACACAAAAATAGCATTCGGTAACTATTTTCACCGTGAAGACAAAATGAAGTTCGAAATTTTTTTTACATTTAGTACATTAGCTTTAATTTAAGGTATATATAAAAGTATCAGTATTTCTGGAACACTTTAAAAAGTTAAGTTGAAATAGTCGTCATTATTAATCCCCCCTTCTGGGCAAGTTAAGGTTCAAATTTATAAAAGAAATACATCAAACGATAGGTAATGACATTATGCATCTATAAACAAAAATTATATTGATTTGTTCATTTTTGAAAAAGTTATGGCAGTTTTAAGTAAAAAAACCCCAGCACAGGGGGGTCGTGGCACAGTGGTGACGTGGCATAGTTGGATCAAGTATAATGATATCTGACAGTGATTAAAATCACTATAAAAAAAAAACGCTTTGATGCAAATCTTTAGATAGAGTTTACTTTAAAAAAAATTGGTGTATTATTCCAAAAGCTATATGATCTGCTAGTTCCTTATTAATATCTTGATTAAGATAAAGTATGTCCAATAAAAAAGGGATTATTAAAAAATATTATTTCTCATTAAAAAAATTGTGTTGATCCATACACTTTTCAATAAGTTATAGCATTATAAAGTTAAAAATGTAAATTATAAAATCGAGAATTTTTCCAAATTAAAGTATATTACATTAGCTTTAATTTAAGATATATATAAAAGTGTCAGACCTTCCGGAACATTTTCAAAAGTTTAGTTGAAAAAGTTAATTTTTTGTGAAAAAGTTGTCATATTAAATCCCCCCTGTGGGCTGGTTAGGTGTCAGATTTACAAAAAAAATATACCAAATGATAGGTAAAGACATCAAGCATCTATAAAAAAAAAATTATATTGATATGTTTATTTTTGAAAAAGTTACAGCAGTTTTTAGTAAAAAAAATTGAAAAAATTTCGAAAATTAACGATTTTTAAATTTGTAATTTTTTTGGAGGTTTCACTCATTTACGGGGAACGAGGGAATTTTTTTCAATTTTTGAGGATAATATCTTCGACTAAATACGATTTGTGACCTTTTGACGTATCGTTGAAAGAAATTGGTTCAATGAGAGATGAGAAAAATGGTAACAGACACACAAAAAAAACACATCTTAGTAAAATTAATACCTTCTCAGCTTCGTTTCGAAGCTAAAAATGCATATAGAAAATAGAGCTATTTCAACTTGATTTTTTAGTGTTCCTGAAATACTGAAACATTTATTTATATCTTAAACTAACGTTTATGTAATATATTTTAATATGAAAATGATGAAAATGACCACCGTATGTTATTTTTGTGTTAAAATTCTCGATTTTGTATTATATTTTAATTTAAAATACCTTACAAAAGTTTTTGAGTCATATAATTTTTATTTCATTTAGATTCAATAACTTGAATAAATATCAAAGACCCCATCACTGTAGACCTCCTCGTTTGAAAAAATTTCTTATTCAAGTTTTTATATCATGTGATTTTTTTTATGGCCTTCACTTATTTTTTCAGCTCTCACTTGACCAACTTTATTTAACGATATATCAAATTATCACAACTATTATCTAGTTAAAGATATAACCCTCACAAATTGAAATCCGTTTCCTCAATCCCCCGTAAATGGGGGAAATCTCCAAAAAAATTATAAATTTAAAAATCACTAATTTTCGAAAAATTTTTAATTTTTTTTACTTAAAACTGCCATAACTTATTCAAAAATGAACAAATCAATATTATTTTCTATTTAATGATGTAAATTTTAAACTTGAAGTAGAACTAAAATTTATGATAGCAAATTCACCTTTTTTTTATTGTAAATTTTCAAAAAACCAATTTTAAAATAACAAAAAAATAGGTTAAAAATGATATATTGCACCGATTATTTTTATAATAGAAATCAGAAACTTTAATAATTTTTTTGTGTTGTTAATTATTTTTTATCATAATATATTTTTTCCAAAGAAATATTAATAATTTCTATGTAACTTTTGACGTTTAAATAGATGATACAATTGAAATATTCAGAAATATTTTCTTTATAGTTATATCCTATAGTTTTTAATTAATTAGTAATAATATGAAAAATTATTGGTGATAAAATACATGTCATTGCTGATTTGAAATTAGCACGAAAAATTGAATACTAAAAGTATATTTTTGACTGTGATGAAAATTTTTGTAGATCATTTATTCATAATTAACAACAAATTATTATCTAAAATGTTCTGTGTCAATTCCTTCAATTTTTATACACGTTTGTCATATAAGTAATAACTACTTTATAATTTTTTAAACATTTTCCGAAAAAATTACACTACTTAATTATTAAATATCAATTTAATACTACGTTGAATTGCTTTAATAGATATTTATTCATAAATTATACTTATAAATCAGCTACAAATTAGGAATAATGATAGAATTTATTTTTCATTTTGTTTTTTGAATAATCCAATATTTTTTTAAGATTAAACACTATCTACAGAATTGCATCAAAGTGTTTCTTATGATAGTGATTCTAATCATTGTCAGATATAATTTACACTTGTTTCAACTATACCACATCTCCATTGTATCATGGCCCTATTGTGCTATCTTTTTTTACTGTATGTTTTCTTTTAGCTTCGATGCGAAGCTGAGAAGGTATTGGTTTTACTAAGATGTGTTTTTTTTTTTTTTTTTTTTTTTTTTTTTTT